TTACCCTTCTCACCCAAGAGTTTGGCTGTCCCACTGGCTTCTCCTCTCTGGCCCTCGCAGGGGATTTCTGTTTTTTCCAGCTCTATGCCTCATTGTGAGGCACAATTAGGAGAACTGAGAATCAACAGATGGAGGGAAAAGGAAGGATGTTTGCTTGTTGGATCAGTTCCCTGACTCTCCTTTCTTGGAGGGAATGAGGGTAATATGAGAAAATGAATAGAAGTTGAAGAGGCTAAATTGAGCTACATGCTGCAGAGGAGAGAGGGAGAGGGAAGGGATAAAGACACAAACAATTTTCAGTAGCGAGAGAGTCTGACTCAGAGGCAGCTGCAATGTGTGCAAAGCACCGGGAAGGAGGGAAAGGAACTCTAGTAAGTACTGCTGTGGTCTACACATTCGATTTCTATAAATGCAGCGGTTCTCAACCTGTGGGTCGTGACCCCTTTGGCGGTCGAACGACCCTTTCACAGGGGTCGCCTAAGGCCATCCTGCATATCAGATATTTACATTACGATTCATAACAGTAGCAACATTACAGTTATGAAGTAGCAACGAAAATAATTTTATGGTTGGGTCACAACATGAGGAACTGTATTTAAAGGGCCAGAAGGTTGAGAACCACTGTATAAATGACATTTGACAAACGCAAGTAATCATGAGAATGGCTCACAGATTTGTTTCATCTGCTGGGCTGTTTATTTGAATGTGATGCTGTCTTGAACCTGAGCAGCCTGGCTTTTGTGCAGATGACACACGACTCATGGAGTCTGGTCTCTGGCTACTGTGCACATAGGTCCACCAAAAGGTATTACTAGGGGATGCATGTTCTTCCTCTTCTATTGTCTCCCTTACACACTCACACCTGAGTTCAGCTCTGAGGGAGCCCTGCCCTGGCGCGAGGCTCTCAGCTTTCTCTGCAGGTCGGGCTCCAGCCAGGCCCAGGTTACCTCCTTTGTCTTGTGACTCAGACCCTGAAGGCCAGCTTTAGGCATACACTGTGGAAGGCTCCCTCTGCTTCCCCAAACATAGCTTCCTACATCTTTGTGCCCAGGTGTCTGCCCTTGCGTTTTAGAGATTTAGGTGCAATTGGCTCAACCCCCCACCAAGTCCAAAACTCTCTCTAGATATTTACAAATTTATGGAATGATTGCGATTAGAATGGCTTCCTCTGGCCCCTGCTGGCACACACACTCTCTTCCCTGAACAGCATGTGCCCACTGATGCTAAACATAGCCTCCTGGTTGGTGTCCTATGCTGGTTTCCACTGTAACCCCACTCATCCAAACGTTTTATGAGTGAACATATTTACTGAAGACTTTGGGTTGTGGGGAGGGGTCAAATACACAGCCCAGGACATCACCCCCACTGCATTTTGATGGTGCCGTTTTCTTCTTTGGAAGGAGAGAGATGCTCTTCCTCTCTCTTCCCCTCTCCAACTACCCTCTTCCCCTACCCTCATGCTTAGCAATTTGCCCTTGTCTTTCATAGCTTGAACATGTCCTTGGGGGTTTCACCCTCTCCCACCAGGAACTTCATCAACGTATTTCTTTTGAGAACATCCCGGATTCTTCCTCACAGGAATTCTGCTGGACATGATCTTCTCCATCCCTACATGCAGAAGGCAGGCCAGGAAAGTGAGCACAGGCTGGAGGCTGCGGGGTGGGTGGAGCTCGAGAAGCCAGGCCTCAAGGCTTCCTGAGGGACCACCTCCCCTTCTCTGTACGTCAGCTTCCTCTTGGCGGAAGGAACTAGGTCACCTCCATGTTCTCACCTGGCTCACAACGGCTGGGATTCTTTCTCCCTGATGTTGGGAGAGATGGAGACGGAAGCAGGAACTGCAGATGTGGAAAGGCCCGCGGCGGTAATGGGTGGAAAGAAGGGGTGTGGAGAGGCCTTAGCCTGTGGTCTCAGTGGCTGGGTTTCCATCCTGTCTCACTGGCAGCAGCATTCTAGCTCTGGTGTCTGGGAGCTCCAGTAACTGATTTCTCAGAAGCAGTTAGGTATTTCCTCAAACATAGCCCAGGGCCACTGCCCCAAATTTCCACGCCGTTGAAAACAGCTCTGGCTGCCAGCATCCTGAGTACATGTGAAAACACCCAATTTACCCCAGACACCAACCCGGCAAGAAGCACCAGTGGTAAATAATTGAGACGAAGATCCAGGCAGGAATTTTAGAAGCTTTTAGTGTTTCAGAAGCCTCAGAAGAGAGAAAAATACATTTGATAGTTCTAAAAGTAGGTATAAATTTTTCTTTCATCTATTGGCTTTAATTTTCAGATCCATTAGGGGGGAAAAAAGAACATCTCTGTCAAGAGAGATTGGACATAAAAGGCTTTTTATGGATAGGCCTAGATCAATGAAGGATGCTTTTGCTTTATAATAAATATCCAATATGTTTAAGGTAACAGTGAAAGGAATGCAGGGGCCCGTTGAGTTGAACCATATTACCTCTCTGAGTCTCAGGGACACATGGGGACACTTATAAATTCCTTCTCCTTGTAAATCTGTCCTGGTGAAATGCAATATTGTGCTGGGGCAGCCATTCTTAGAATTTTGGGTAATTTACTTAAACTCTATAAATCTCATCTGTGAATGTGGGTAACGAGGATAACTACCTCAGCAGGTGGTGAGAGGTTTTATTGAGAATCCATACAAAGCGCCCCAAACAGTGGCTGGCACATTCCGAACACTCAGTCCAAGGAGTTCTTAGCGGTTGTTAACAGAACTCCACGAAGAGCCCTGCTACAAAGTTCCAGTCTCTTTCTCTGCATCATTGTCATTGTTTCTGACAGAGAAGGGAGAATTCTACTCCCATCAATGTGCACCAACGTACTGTACAGGCTTTCATAAAGCCAGCCCCAGATGGCAGGGAGGCTGAATTCATCCCAGTGCATGTCCCCATTCCAGGCAGCCCATGACACAACACAGGCTTAAGTTTTCCATGGACATTGTTTATGTCAGTGCATAGTAGGGAATGAAGGTCAGCTTCAGACACGTCTGAGTCAAATCCTGTCTCTGCCCTGAACAACCGTATAGTTGCCTAATTTGTCTAAGCCCTTGAGTAATGGGGTTACTATCACATTCCACAGGGTTACTGTGTACACTGGGGTGGGGATCGTCCGGACCACGGGCTGTATCATTTGCTCTGGCCCTGCCGAGGCAACCACAGGCAGGACTCAAAGTTCAATAAATCTAGGAGCTTTTTCATAGCAACGTAATTTTTAGTTGATAATTGTGGATGGCCCACAAATGATGTCATAAATATCTAAATGGCCCTTGGCAGAGAAAAGGTTCCCCGCCCCTGGTGTAGACAAAGAGATCATGATGACCAGCAGTGGCTGGTCCAAGCAAGGGCTTGAGAACCAGCCCCCTTTATTATTATTTACTGTATATTGCAATTATTATATTATAAGCATTATATTTACTAGGCTATAGTTAAATTATTACTAACTCTCTGTGATGATGCTTTTGTTCTGTACTATGTGGCTGTGGAAGGCAGGTTCACTTTCAATTCCTCTACAGCCTCTTCCTGATCCTTCACCTGTTCCATAATGCTCACAGTTGCCAGGTGATGAGAAATAGCCCTGAGGAGCTATAAGTAATTTTGGTGGAAAGAGCATTTTTTTTTTTTTTTTTTGCCTAAAAACCTTTATTTTTGCCACCTATTGGCCACATGACCTTGCAAAAACCATACAACCTCTCTGAGCCTCAGGGACACCTGGGGACAATGTAATCAACTTCAAAGTTTTGTGCCAAGGATTAAAAGAGATGTTTGAGAAACTAAAGATGCCGGTAAAGCGTTATGCGTTATAATTGTATGTTATCTTTGGATGCCGTGCATATTTCATATAAAGATGTAAACCACCTTTCTATGTCACATTGGTCTGGTATTTTCCACAGTTCCTGGGAAATGGTGGCTGCGCCTCGTTAAAGTAACCTCTGGCCTGGCTTGGAAGAGAGAGACATGGGACTGGCTTCTCCCCAGTTTGGGGGCCAGGCTGGGAGTCTAATCATCCGCTTCCGGGGAAAACTTCTGTAACAGGATTATTCGTACATCTGGAAAGCTAATGAGCTCTCCGTTCTTATTGAGTAGCCAAGAAAACACCGAATGAATGGTTGAAGCTACAAAAAATAAAGCCGAGTCTCTCCCCCAAGACTATCCTCCTTTCTCAGCCACGCTGCACCCAGGCCTCCTGGCATAGTCGGGCGACAGGTGAGTCCTGGCACCCGGGCAGCCCTTCCTCCCCGGCCTCTGAGGTGGTGCTCTGCCGGGGGCTTTTGCAACTGCCAGGAGAGCTAGTTTTCTGAAAAGGCTTGGACTATTTTCTCTGGATCATAAAAAGGGCTCTGGCGTAATACTGGAAAGGTGCAGTTCATACTAAAGAAATGTCAAAAGAGGGGTCAAAGGAACTGGTGAAGTCAAGGACCATTCTTTCCGTGTCGACTTATTAGCAAATGCTGACTGTCCTTAGCAGAAACTCTTTGCTCTGATGCTTTGGAGCCCATAGCCACCATGCTGTACAATTTCAGGGGCAACATCTACATTGTGCCCTATGAAGTACTCCAGGGGGCGCCCTTCGCACAGAATACAATGCAAATGCTTCTCCAAGCTTGTGTGCAACAGCATCTTGCTGGGACCAAATCCTACAAGAGCCCAACTTCTAGTCACAAAGCCTCTTCTTATTGTAACTTTCTCCTTACAGTGTACCGACTTCGTTCACAAACATGCCAATGAACAAATAAAACATTGGTAAGTAAGCCCCTGCCAAAAATTTAGGAGGGACGTGAGATGATACAATGTTTCCAGATGTGCACCACTTAGAATTCCTCAGTGTGCAGTGGAAGGTGTGTGTTGATGAGGAAAGCAGATTTGTAGTTCAAGTGTATTGTTGATCATTTATTGTTCTTCTTTCTCACTTATTTTGGGTATAACTACTAGTACCTATTGTACCCCAAAGAGTCTCAGGAAAATTATGAAAGAAAAGAAGATGGTACTTTACTTTTAAGTAAATTCCGAAGTCCTCTCTCTGCTTCAGGCTCTCGAGGTAAAAGACAGCGGCGGAGTAGTTCAGGCAGTAGGTCTGGTGGCTCTGACAGAGGCTCCCTCGGAAATGCTGCAAGAGAAGAGCAGGGAGGGCACAGGCAGGCGGCCTCTTTCCCTTCATGGTCATCACTGACCAGCACGGGGAAAGGGGGAGGGGTCAGCATTGTCAAGCAGGAGTGTGACCGTGTGACTAGGAACAGGTTATCTTCACAATAAACATTCTTTAAAAATAGTATTTCCATAAGACACAGGTAACTCCTCAATAAATCACCCCCCCTTCCTACTTAAAATTCTAGTTAGGGTGTCTTGATTTAATTTACCTTTTGCTTCTGCTTATGCTTTGTTGAGGTCTACACTCCCTGCATGGCACCTGGTAACAAATACTGCCTTTGACTTCAGGGCTTATGTTGGTTGATGTTAGGCTTGTGTTGGTAGTAAGTAACAACATTTAATTTTCACCAACTTTTCCTCAAAAATGTCCATTCATGTAATTCTCCTGCTGGCTTCTAAAACTGTAGAGTCAAATCCGAGGGCCTCTCCTAAGTGTATGTATAGATTTATGTAATGGTCAAACAGAGCACCCCTCACAAGGTGCCCTGTCTCAGTTACGTGTCTTTCTCGGGAGTGAGTTACTCTTTTCTCTTCACCAAAGCTTAACTGGCACCCACTCTCCTCGGTGTCTCAGTGTCTACCATGTTGCTAAGCCCGCATACTCCTTGATTTATTGATTGATGTAATGAGTAATGGGTCCCACTGAGAAATGTCTAATAGTGTCACATGCGGTAGAACAAGACAAGGAAGACACACTTGTTGGCAATGTTATCACTACATTTAGTCGAGAAAACAGATCCAGCCTAAAAAGTCACTAAAGGAAGTGGCAGCAATAAAGGCAGAGATAACGAAAACCGAGAAAAATATTTTGTTGTGAGACAGAGGAGAAGACACTGTGGGGAAAAAATGTCATGTTTTGGCTCCTGCAGGAAGTAATTTGAAGGATGATGTAAATTTATTTTTGGAGGTGGAGGGGGTTGGTAGCTTGGAGAGAAAGGGCACTGAGATGCTTGAGAAATTTTATTACTAGGAGGCAATGGTTAAGATCCTATGTGGTCAGGCTTAGAGACCCGGTTCTACAATTTATCAGCTATGTGACCGTGGCCAAATGATCTAACCGCTCAAGCCTTGGTTTCCTTTTCAGGGACTTGCTCACTTGAGTCATGTGTGAATAACAAAATGCTCCAATCTCCCACCTGGTGAGCCTCTTACTGGTCATCTGCTTTCCCTTCCTGGGGAGGACGCTGGGTACGCCCTCTGCTGAAGGTGAGCGCGGTCATGTGACTGAACTTGGCTGACAAAGTGTGAACAGACCTGCCATGTGTTGCTTCTGGCAGAACCTGAAGAGTCTGAGTGCTCTGCCCCAGTCTCCCCAGACCGGTAACGTTCCAGTGCTGCTCCCTCAGCATGGGTCCCAGGGAGAGGACAGTGACAAGGTACAAGTAGGCACAGGGGAGAGAGGAACCAAGCTATTGAGATTTGGGGATGGTTACTCTGATACAACCACATCCAACCTGACTGGTAAAGCACCTTTTCAATTAAGGAAACACTTGTGTAACCCATCTTTGCACACCTGGAACAGGAAGCACTCATATGTGGGCTGAGTATGGACCTTTAATAAAGCGTATATTAACATCCCATGCTTAGGAGGCTATAAGAGCACTTACACTATGGTGGGATGTTTGCGTCCCTGTCTAATTAATATGTTAATCCTAACCCCCAAAGTGATGGTAGTAGGAATGGGGCCTTCAGGAGATGATTAATTCACAAAGGGTAACCCTCATGAGTCGGATTAATGTCCTTATAGAGTCTCCAGAGGCCTCCCTAGCCCCTTCTGCCGCCATGTAGGATGCAATGAGAAGTCTGTGACCGGAAGGGAATCCTCATCTAACCTCAGACTGCCCCCCTCCAAATAGTGTAAAATAAATGTGTTGTTTATAAACCACCCAGTCTGTAATATTTTGTTTTTGCCTGAGCAGACTAAGACAGCTTACATGTTTTAATGAGAA